CGCTGAGTCAGAAAATGACACTATTTTTGCCGAAAAGTGGAATTTTGATTGAGAAAACGGCAAAGTACAAGCCCAGTTTCGTTGTTTTTTCAGTGTTTTGGAAAAAATTGAATTTCTCGGCAAGGAAACAAAAATTTTCAAACATAACATTTTTCCGACAACTATGGCGATCAGAATAGAGTAAAAGAGGGAATTTTATCTTCTAAATCCTAGGACTATTGTAGCTTTGCAAAATTAACTGGGAGCCTCTTTATCGTAATGGATCTTTTGGAAGGTCTATCTCTAAAAATTAAACTGTTACTGTATTCAACTTTCATCTCTTCCTCTGTGATCAATACCCACAGAATACTATACTGATTTGTAGAGCTGGTCCGAGATACTCAAGATTGGAGGGTGGGTGGACTAAATTTTTCGCTCCGCGAGCGTTTTGAAGACCGCGCGTCTGAGCGTCTGAACACCCCATCGGATAACTATTCGTGTATTCTAAATTTGTTCGTGTAGGAAGACGCGAATAAGTTCTATAAACTTTTAGGAAAAATTTAAGTGTAATATCCAGGAAAAAACTAGCATCTAAAGATCTTATTTTTAATATCAAAGAAAAGTTACTCTTAAAACCATGAAAATCCCTTCTAGGAAGCAAAAGATATAGATTCTGAACTTGTTCATTTATGATTATTCGTTTATGCGTCTCTCTGATTTAACAACAGAAATTGTCGATTTTTGAGAAGACCAGAGATCCTTACTGTTTTGCCAGTCTATTTAGAAAATAATTAATTAGTTGATGATGAATAGAATTGAATAGATAATATGTGTGAACAATTTTACAGATTCTTTTCATACAGAAGAAAACTGTGTACAAATAGCAAAACCATAGGTGATTTATAAACTTTGAAAGTCATGTTTATACGATTTCAAAGTAACACAAACGTTTTTCGTCAAATCTTAGATCAAAATTTAAGACTTAATTTTACAATTGATGATAAAATGCTGTTTTAAATATATGCTACTGTGTTTGCTTTGTTTTTCATGCTTTGATGTGGACACTTTGGTCATAGTAAAAAAGCAAAATATTTTGTGAATTTTATCTACCTAATATGTAGGCAAACATTTGATATTTTGAATAATATAAAAATTTAAGAAAATTTCTTCTTCTCATCGTACGATTGTTACTCGAAGTTGCTATGTGTATATTTTCTATGCTATATTTTTTTTTATCTTAGATATGGCACCAGGTATTATTCGTGTGGCAACATACAATTTACGTGGATCAAAATTAGATGAAGGTACACTTAACTCATGGGATCATCGTAAAAATATTTTATACAAATCTATTGAACATATTGATCCGTCGATAATTGGCACACAAGAAGGTAATCCATCACAATTAAATGATATATTGACGAATTTAACTCTAAAAGATAGTAATAAATGGAAAATGATCGGTAAAATAATTGATGATCACGAGACAATAAATGCCATATTTTATCGAGCTGATGAATTTGATTATAAAAAAACAGGTACCTTTTGGTTTAATGAACATCCCGAAGAAGCGGGAGCTGCATGGGGTGCAAAAAATTCAAAAGGTTGTACATGGGCTGAATTTTTTAATATTAAAAATCATGACGAAAAGTTTGTTCACTATAATCTTCATTTGGAATGGCCACGTCCTCTGGCTAGAAAAAATAGTATTCCGATATTACTTCAGTATATAGAAAAACAGCATCCAAATGAGCAAAATTTAATCGTGACTGGTGATTTTAATAATTGGCCGGAAGAGGTTGAAGGAATCATACCAACAGATGAATTAATTCAATTAGGTGAAATCTGCCCAGAAGTAATACAAATGAAAGAAGCCAATTTTGTCGATACATTTCTTGTTGCAAATCCAAATTCACCTAATGTTCCAACATTCAATGGATTTCGAAAAGAAGGTTATGGACCAAAAATTGATTTTGTTTATATTAAGAAAGACACATTTCATGTAAAAAATGCAGCTGTTTGTGAATATCAGGAAAATGAAAATTTTCCATCCGATCATTTTGCTGTTTATGCTGATCTTCAGTATAAAAAATGAACAGTATAATTCTACATTCATGTAGTAAAATTCTTTTTACATTGTTTTATTCCATTATTGTATGTTAATCTTTTATTTTACAGTATTTTAGTATTTGTATTTGTCAGAAGACATTCTACAACAAGGTGTCTAATAGGGAAATGACAAGTAAAACGATTGTTCAGTTTCAGTTAGAATATCTCATCCATGCAGAAACATCCTTCGCTTATTCTAGATATAGGCGAAACCAAAGCTTTTCAGTCCTGGTTCCGGTCCTGTAAAGTTGTTTCGGTCCCGATTCTGAAAGTAGTTCTGCTCATATGAAAAAACCACTATTAATGTCGAAACGTTCAGGAGTTTTCTAATCGACTGTTATCTGTTATTTGTCCCTTAATAAATGAGGTATGCCGTATGTTTCTTACTCTAACTATATAAGCAAAATAACCGGTACATGCCTAGTTATATAAGATCGAACGGTAAGACTTCCTGACGATTTTCTACAACAGTTCTATTTAAGTATGGAGAATGAGTCGAGTTTTAGCTGATTTTACGCAACTATCAAAAGAAATCTTAGTTCTAGTGTCGGTACCGGTTCGATCTCGGTCTCGGTAAAAAAAACATTTTTGGGCCCGGTCCTGCCCATGTCTAGCTCATTCTGATATCTATGCTACGATATATGCTACAGTTTCTATGCATCCATGTTTTACAATACATGAGGAAAGGTTTCGTTTGAAATATCAATAATACTATAATATGATCAAAATTATTTTTTTATTTAAATAAATTTCATTCTATTCTCTCCTCAAAACTAAGTTCATTATATGATTTTTATACCTTAATTCTGTATACTCATTGCTAAATCGATAATTAGTTTAAATTATGTTTATTCATAAAGAAAGAAATAATCCTGGTAACTCTTCTTCTAAGGCGCATGAGCATTATATAGTTGGAGAGTAACCGTACAAGATATTTCTCTTACCATTAAACACAAATAATAGTAATGAAAGAAAATAGTTATTCTGAAATAAAACGAAGTGGATAGTTCTACATTTAAAATCTGTCAGTATCAATAACATATTGTATTATCATTTTGTAGAAATCTTTATACTGCACAAAATCCAGATCTTTTCGTAGTAGTAGTAGTAGTAGTAGTAGTAGTAGGTTCATGTCGATATCAATGTCTGAGTCACGTTGTTTTGTTTGTTGAAATAGATTTTCTCTCGCTAGGCGATAGTCAAGACAGAAAGAAATGTTTTACTGTCTCAGATCCTCCGGACTCATATAGATTTTCTGTGATAATCAAATGCCTTCTAAATAAGCCATTGTGTAAAAATGAAAAATTCATTCTCATCTGATAAAATCGACATTTTTCGAAAGATATCACGAAAATATGGGCAAAAGCAGTTTTTTTTCATAGATACATTCGTTTTTTTCGTGAAAATTGAATTTTGCAACAGAAAAAAACAATTGAAAAATCTATCTATACGCATTTTGTAGCGTGTGAGATTCACCGTTTTATGACTATCAGCTCGTTGATTCAAAATGAGCAAGACGCTGTCAAAAACGCCTAAGAAAGAACGTGGATTTAGGTCATTTGCCAAAACATTCAATAGTGTCTTGCGAAATGTTTTGGGGAATCAGAAAAAAATCAACCGGAACGTTCGTCATCTATACTTTCGTCATTGACGAAAGTCCGACAATATTTTTGTCACTGACCAAATTTCACCTTAAGTTAGTCAGTTGATGAAAGTGTGGGTATACTATATATCGACAATTGATGAAAGTTCACCGCAGAAATATACCTTTCTAAACTTCATTCAACATTAGTTCAGGTGCTGTTCCCTTATTACGTGAATATAGATGACCCAGACGCCCCTTTAAGTCATGATCAACGGTTTTTTTTGTTGCTATTTTTACTTGGTTTCCCAGCTGGATCACCGAGCAGAAACGACAGCGTATCAACAAGATGGGGTAGATGACGGTGAAGAATTTGTTCGTATTTTAGAAGGGGACGGTTGTTGGAAAGACACCTCTAGTGTTCAAAATGGGCACGTTTTTTCGAAAACCCGCTAGGTTTTGAAAAAATTCATAACTTTGTTTCTCGTTCCTTTAAATGTTCGAGAGCATTATTTTCAGATTCAGCATGTGAAAACGAGTCTAGAAACTTACTTTTGATGTTGTTCAAATACATTATTTTTGGACCTTAATTGTATCTTTCAACTGCTCTCCAGTCACTTTATAAACCTATCTAGGTTTTTCTCGTAAGATATGAAGCCAACATTTCTATGCTATTCGAACCGCCAAACGTTGAGGAACAAACCCACATATCGCTTTTTTTTATTTTTCTTTGTCACTCAGAACATTCATTTTTGCTAGATCAGGAGTGAAAAGTCGAAATTCTGCCAGTAATTCTCAATTTTCTCCACCAGAGCTCACCATCTGTGAAATAAAAATACCATATTCGGAACCAGCGTCAAACACTGATCGAACGATGTACTTTTTCATCACATTCGCACAGTGGGCATTTTTCATCACATTCGCGAGTCGAATATTCGACTCCTTTTATTTTTGTCACGTCAAAAAAACAAAAAGTAGCTGAAGTCGAACCGAGCTTCAGCTGCAAGAACTTTCTCAAACCGAACCGATCCCACCTCTGATAGTTATAACTATTGGCAATTTCTGACTAAAAATTAAATTAGTTATAATTAATTTCAACTTCTTTTAAATGTTCTGATGGAATAGTGCATTGAGCGATGTAATGCAACAATAGTTGCCATTTTGTTCTTGTACCATTTCCTTTCTTTATTTTCTTTTTAAAATAAAAAAGTTTACACTAACAGTTATAACTCAGTCTTAAACCCATCGTTGCTCAGGGCATACTCAGAAAATATTCATTCACCGTTTTATTTTGCTAAGTGCGAAGTGTTGATAAGTGACACATTCATATAAGATCTTTCTGCTGTCACTTCTTACATAAAATTGAACACACTTTTTACCTTTTCTTATCAAAATATAATTCGTTTCATCTATTCCGCTAACTTGTAATCTATCGGGTATAATGAACGCAATTTCTTTTCTTATTGTTTTATTTTTTTGTGTTTTACTTCTTAATCTCGACTTATAAAGAAGGAATTTGAAATGGAGAGTTATATGGTCTTAAGCGCTTAACATGTACTACTTTCACCACCCGATTATCAGCTAAGGAAGTTAACTGACAATTTAGGAGTGTAATCTTTTTCGTAATCTTAAATGGTCCAACCCATCGAGGATCCAACTTAGGTGCTTTCCATTTACCGAGTGCACTATCTACTGTGATACCCATCATCACAAGATCGTCCAACTCAAAATGCACATTTCTACGATGTCTGTCGTAGGATGAAAGCTGATTTTGTTGTGCAATTTCGAGATGTTCTCATAGAAAATTAAATGCTGGTAAAAGGTTAGCTGTAAGTCGATCACGATAGACCCGAACATCTCGATCATTGACTGGATGATCGTCAGATGGATTTATTGAACCAAGTAGTACATCTATCGGTAAACGAGGTTCGCGACCAAACATCAAGAAGGAAGGAGATTCTCCAGTGCTATCGTTTATCACCGTCCTTAGAGCGAAAGCCAATTGAGGAAGTTTTACATCCCAGGCACGTCGATCACTTTGAGCGTAAGCTCTTATCATGGTTTTGAGTGTATTATTCACTCGCTCTGATAGATTTGTTTGCGGGTGATATAAGGCAGTTCAGCGATGATTTATTTGGAGAATACGAAGAGTTTTTTCGAATACTTCCGAAATAAATTGCGGACCGTTATGTGAGATGATCTTTACTGGGCATCCAAAATGACAAATGACTTCATCGAGAAGTATTTGTGCAATATGAGTTTGAGTATTAGCTTTAAAACGCTGGCATGCATCACATGCATGGATATAATTCTCTACATCCTTTCGCATTCCCTGCCAATAAACGCGAGAAGTTAAACGATG